TTTTTTTTTTCTTTATTGGTACATTTCCAAATATATGTTCTTTCTAGTATATAGTATCCTGTTTCTCAATTTTTGATTTCTAGTATAACATCTCTGAATTTGGGAAATTAGAAAATGCCTCTAATATCAGTGAGACAGTGGTCTATGCCATAATTATAAAACAGAATATTTCAATGTGGTCTTGAAGTTGTCAGTGAATTAACTGCCCACTGACAATTAATACACAAAGATATATAATTGAAAAGCAACAATTCTATAAATTCTTTTAAAGAGAAAAGAAGTATTTCCTGAAAGTCTTCCCAAAACACTTAGAACAAAATCCAAGTCCAAAGCTGGAACGTTTTTCCAATCTCATCTGGTCTAATCTCTCTTGCTTTACAACCAAGAGACTTGCCCCACATCATACTGCTAAACTTAAAGGAAAGTAAAGTTCATTACACATTTGAACTTCTAGCATCTGTCAATACTGGTGCTTTTTTCTTGAAAAGTTAGTAAATGACTTTTAATTCAAAGCTCAGTATTTACTCAATTTTAAATAAAATTCTATTACCCATTAATTCTGTGCATACTTTATACCTTATATCCGAATCTGAAGACTTCTGTCTCACCACCAACTTTGTAATCTCTCCTTGAGACATAGTTTTGTGAATCTTTGTCTGTTCATCAACTGATGAAAATCTCTGTGATGTCTGTAATAATTACATACATAAAAAACTTTAAAACCAAGTGAATATATGAAAATACTATAAGATTTGAGTGCAGAATTTGAGAATTATAGTTGTTAAAAATATAAAAAATACATTATATTCTACAGTTATATTCAGAGACTTATTGAAATAATACAACCTACTGAAAAATCTTAACTTCCTTAAGTAATGAAATATATAGAGAACTAAAGTCAATGAAAATGTTGACCACCAGTTTGTATTTCTGACAATGTGACCCAAAAAATGCCATGTGTAAAGTTAACAAAAACAGTCAAGACCATTCAAGGACAGACACAAGATCCAGGATCTGATAAATCTAAAACACAAAATACTATGTCTTTCATACACCTCTTTATCTGTACCAAGAGGTACAATGACAGCTAACTATGACAGATCTGTATTATACCCAGTCAAAATTTAAAAGAGCCAGAACACATAAAAGAAAAACCAAAGGATCATTATTATCACTAATGTTTTAAATTATAATTTACAAAGCTGTCAAAATGGGACCTGAATAGCATTCAGTAAATTTTTTTCCTTTTGCATATAATATACGCCCATCTAAAGACAGTCTTCTTCTGAGGAAAGTATTCTTGTTATTCAAGTCACTGGCTAGTATTTCACTTTTCTATAATTACCATATCCTTTATCCTTTCTTTTGCCTTGTCTACAAAGAAACTACTTTGCCACACTGACAGAGGTAGAAGTTCTTAGAACCTTATCTGGTAAACCAAAGGAAATGCACATGAACAAAGTAAATATATAAAGGTATAAGAAAATGAAATCAAAGCCAAGGGCTGGGGATGTAGCTCAGCGGTTCGGTGGCCTGCCTCGCAAGCGCAAGGACCCGAGTTTGATCCCCAGTACAAAAAAAAAAAAAAAAAAATCAAAGCCAGGCACAGTGGCACACGCCTGTAATCCCAGCAATCAGGAGGCTGAGGCAGGAGGATCCATGTGAATTTGAGACCAGCATGGGCTACACAGTGAGTTCCAGAGCAGTTTGAACTACAAGGTAGTAAAAAAAAAAAAGCAACAAACAAACAAAAGAAAGAGATCAAGTTAAAAAGAAACCTCTACAAAAGTGTGATGTAGAAGAAACCCTTAACTCTCAACTATATATGTATGTACATGAGAAATCTCTTGAATAAGAAATTCAAAACGTAAAACCAGAAATAAACCAAAACTCAAAAACCCAAACACCCAGGAAGAAATGAAAAGTTGGGGTGCCCTCAAGAACTATATAAATTAGGAATATAAAATTAACTCTTAAATGATGACTCACAAGGTACTCAAAGAAGAAAAATACAAATGAAAATTTAGAAGGAATTAAACAAAGGCAGAAAAATACGAAAAGAATACAAAATTATAAAGAAAGAAGTAAAGAAGGTCAGAATGTATTTGAAATGGCAGACAGGCAAAAAAGAAAAAAATTCAGGTCCTTAAGAAATACAAAATGATGAAATATAACAAACATGTAAAACTGCAATTAATGAAGAATTTTTTAAAAATTAGTGACTAGAATTTACATACTGAAAGAGTCCAGGAGATATATGACATCATTAATCTATAACAACCATATCCTAGATATGAAACATAAAGGAAAACTTCTGAAGGCCTACAATCTAAAAGAGCAAATAACTTAGAAGGACAAGAGAATTAGATTTAATGAACACAACATATAAATGTGAATAAAGGATTTTTGTATCTAGCCAAAATATGCCTTCAAGTATCAAAGCTATAGAAAGAACTCAGAAAATTCTATTAGCCTTTCCTCAGAAATCTATGAAATCTAATTAAGATGAAAGGGAAGGTCCTGCCCAGTGGGGTGCTGGGGCTGGAAGATGGTGGCAGCCAGGGCTTTGAAGTTTCTAGAAAAGTCCCTAGGGCTGAGTAAGGGGAATAAGTATGGCGTTCAGGGAGAGTGACAAGATTCCAGTTCCTCAGACAAACAATGGCCCAAGTCTAACAGGACAACAAAAGCAACTCATCTAGTCAAGCAAGCCAACAAGGAACATTTGCTGGGAAGCCACTGCAGAAGAAAAGGCACAGTCCAGCAGTGTTTGGACTACAGTGACACTCCAATAAAGAATATATCCACACTCTGTTGAAGGATCTTAATTCATACCTTGAAGATAAAGTCTACCTTACAAGATATAACTTTACCTTAGCAGATATCCTATTATACTATGGACTTCATCACTTTATAGTTGACCTGACAGTCCAAGAAAAGGAGAAGTATATTAATGTATTTTGCTGGTTTTGTCACATTCAGCACTATCCAGGCATCCGACAATATCTGTCTAGTGTTGTCTTCATCAAGAACAGACTGTATTCTACCTCCCACTAGAATTTACCGATTCCCTACAGAAGAGTGATTAAAACTGTTTAAATGGAAAGTGTATTCTCTTCACCGGACTAACATTAACTGATACGCAGTCACTGTGTATTTGTTGGAGCTGATAGAATTTTTAAAAGTGTAAACTAATGTCCAAATGTCTTATTTGTTCATTAGTTGAAGTCTTGCACTTTTTTGTGTAAAACCTCAACTGCTATCAAAAAAAGTTGATCAGGCTACAAACTACCTTGTTTTTATAAGTGAATTTGTTTTAATAAAGGTTGCAAATCAGTGGCCTAATCTTAAAATAAATTCAGGCTGTCCTCTGAATTATTTGGCTATTTATTAACTTCTTTCATATATTAAAATTCATTTTCCTTATAGATATTTATAGTAGTTTATTAAAAACTAATAAATTATGCCAGTGATACAGAAAGGAAGACATGTATTTGTTTTCAGATATTTATTTGAGCTAGTAAATGTGGTTTAAAAAAAAAAAAACAAACAGCCTGGCGTGGTGGCGAACACCTGTGATTCCAGCACTCGGGAGGCTGAGGCAGGAGGATCGCTGTGAGTTCGAGACCAGTCTGGGCTACATAGTGAGTTCCAGGTCAGTCTCCACTACATAGTGAGACCCTGTCTCAAAAAAACAAAAAAACAAAAACAAAAAACAAAACTTTTTTGTTTCTGTCCTGTATTCTGTATCCATTGGGGTGCAACTAACGGCTGACTTGCTCTGGAAGGGAGGGGAATAAAAAACATTCCTCTTGGGGGGAAAAAAAGATGAACAGGGAAACTCCAGCAAATTAATATATTCAAGAGCAGATTTAAGATGTAAACAAAGGTGGAAGTGAGGGTAGAAGAATAATCATTGGATATTCTTTTGATTGGTTTTCTTGTGATTACTTTAGTCATGTGTATTTGGGTTGGAATAAAGCAGAAATAAAAACCTAAAAAAAAGTAGAAGGGAGAGGAAAATAAGAGAATAAAATAATTTATTGAGAGTCGGGTCACAAGTCAAATTTAGATATAGAATGTTGCTTGTTAAAAATTGACTAACCAGGCTGGGCGTGGTGGTGCACGCCTGTAATGCCAGCCCTCGGGAGGCTGAGGCAGGAGGATCACTGTGAGTTCGAGACCAGCCTGGGCTACATAGTGAGTTCCAGGTCAGTCTCAACTACATAGTGAGAGCCTGTCTCAAAAAAACCAAACCAAAACAAAAAGTGACTAACCAGAAAGATTAGATAAAAACAAAAGTTGACTAATGGCATTTTTAAAAAGTTATACACAAAGGTAAGCAATCAATAGAAAAAGAGAAGCTAAAAAAAGAAAATTCATATAATATAAATACAGCAAACATAATGTAACTTAATTACATAAAATAAAAAGAAGAGCTGCAATTAAATCTATCAGTTATCCCAATAAATGTAATAAGGTTTAACTTACCTATTAAAGGAAAAATGTTTTTAATTTAATACCTAAAACTAAGTGACCTAGAAAGGCCAAAAATAAAGGGATAAACAGAAAAATACCAGAGTAAATGGAAATAATAAGAAAAGAGAGGCAGTGCTATTAAACAGTAGAACTAAAACAAAAAAAGCACTAAATGTGAAAAAGGACACTTTCTGATCCTAAAAACCACAATTAGCAATGAGTAAAACACAGCATTATCTGGATAAGACAGATCAGTATATCAAAACTAATGAGGCTATAGAAGATAACATGATGAATAGAGATGAAAATCTGCTGAAACTTTATACTTTGAATAAAGAACACACCTTTACACATCATAGTAACATACTAGGTTAAAAAAACCAACAAATCATATCACATAGAAATATTAAAGTTGATTACAATGCAATAAAAATATATTCACAACTTTTAAAACAGGCTTCTAAAAACCAAAATATCTTTTGCTAATCAAGTCTTGATGTGTGTGTATCATACATATAACAATGTTAAAAAACTTATAAGAAAAAAGTAAAACCTGAACATATCTACGAGATACATCTGAAGCAATGATCGGGGGAAAATAATTGACTTAAAAATCCATATAAATAAAAATAAACAAATTAAATCTCCAACTCAAAATTTAGAAAAATGAGAAAGTAAACCAAAAAAAAAAAACGATAAAACCAGAAACAAATGAAATAGAGAATGGAAGAAATGGATATAATAAAGCAAAATCCTGCCATTTTGGAAAAAAATTAAACTAAACAAATAACTAATTTAAAAGACAATAAGCAAATCTACAAAGAAATGACAAAAAAGCACTGAAAAATTTTACAAACTATAAAATTGCTATAAACTTTCTATACTTTTATGCAAAAAATCTGAAAAGTTACAGGAAATGGATAATTTCAAAAGAGAAAATGGTTTACCAAAATGGACTCCACTAGATTAAAAAGTTTAAATAGACTAATTCCCTATAAGAAAAAGAGGAACTTATTAAGGAATATACCACAAAAAAGCACCAATCCCAGATGGTCTGACAGGGACATTCTATCACTATATATATAAAGTTGTTCCTCAATTTTTAGGAGGAATATAGTACACACAGAAACACAAAGCATAAATTCAACATTGTGACTGCTATCTTACAGCTGCCAATCAGAAACTGGTTGTTCAATACCAACCAGTTTTCCACTTTGCAAGACCTACAGAATTACCAAACCCAGGTTCCCCAAATTGCATAAATATCTATCCTGTCCTAATTTCCCCATGGTGAGACATTACACATTCAAGACACATTCAAGGTCAGTTTCCATTTACTGGGAGATAAAATAATAAATTGAGCTTTGACCCACAGGGTTTTCTGGCACTCTTTTGTGGTGGACAGTGGAAAGAAAGAAGAGAACTCAACATAGGTAATGATCGGAGGGGACATATCTCCAAGAATAACAAACACGTGGGGGACAGGGGTAGTGAGATGTTTAGTTTCTCTACGCAGGGGATAGAGATGAATGAAAATTCTAGAAAGCCAATTGGGAGTTATATCTCCACAGAGATTACTGCTTTAAGTTTGGCTATTTGTAGAAGAAACTACAGAGATAATTATGTTTTCTATACTAACCTTACAGATAAGAGGTAGGCTTTTACTAATTCAATTGCCATCTAAAAGTCTGAGGCCCTTGAACTATGAAAATCATCTTTAAAATTTTGGTTAGCAGAACATGTTATTCTTCTTGAAAAATGCTAATATCGAGGCTAAGAACGGAGAGCAGCATACAGACTAAACAGCAATTTAAATGGCAGAGTTTGAAGTAGGAAGTTACCAAACATGGAAGTCACACAAAGGAGGGAAATTACTACCTTTGTCTCCCCTCCCCCACAGCAGGTAACAAATGATTATTAATTAAGCAACTGGAGATGTAATGCTTATCAAACCCCTTTTAGGTAATTCATGTGTAACTGCTTTTAGCCCAGTAGATTGGGTATTTCAATACTGGAAAAGTCAGATGGTCTTTTCTGCTAAGATTTAATGGCACACTTCTTAGCAAGCATCAGTGATAAGATTTCTCTGTCCAGGAAAAACAAACCATGTTTTAAAAAATCCATGTGTGACCTAAAATTAAATTAATTTTTTAAAAATTTTGAGAATGCAGTAATCCTACCTAGAAATAGTGTAGCCTTCAGCTTCACAGTAACAATTAATGTTAGAACATGGCACATTTTCAAGATAAACAAACAGAAAAACAGTGTAAAATCACTCCTATCCTCCCCATCCCCAGCCCCCGTTATCTATATCAGCATATTCTAGAAAGCAAAGCTTCTTCATGCAAGTGTCCACCAGAAACAAGCACCACCACCTAGTCCTAAAGTAGCAAGTGATGAGAGAGAAGAGCAGTAAGAAGCTAAGAGTGACTAACACACTGTGCAGGGAAGTGTTCTACAGCTACCGCATGCAGTGGCCGTCAAGCAGGTGACAGAGGCTGAACAATGCTGACAGGAGCTGAATGCTCCAAGCAGAAACCCCAACTTCCTAGTTCATCTCAGCAAGAGTTCCAGTGTGAAAAAATTCTATCATGAAAAGGACTAGGGGTTGTTACAAAGGAAACTCAGGAACACAACAGCAGTAAGCGGTGCTAAGGTCCTCCATAAATGATAACGTCCATACACTAAAGTAGTATTTTTCAATAAAATTTGTTCCATTACAAAAATTTTCACATTTAATCATGTAACACCTTATATTTCATTATTTATAAGTCTAACACAGGACACCTTCAAAGTGGAATTATTCTTTCCTCTACAAAGAAATTTTATTTCTAATTTATATATACTGTATAAATGTTTTGAACTTCTTTAATCCTACAGTTTTTAGCTCATGTTAATGACTCATTTATTTAATGAAGGAACATGTCCTATATTTTTGTTTTGTTGTTTTTTTACCCCCACGGAATATCAGCATTATTATTTTAACAATGGATCTACTTTCTACAAATATAAAGACAATAATGGTACTCTGAAAATTAGGAAAAATTTAACTGACTGCTTTTCACAATTTAAAAATTTAAAAGCTTACAAAAATAATACCTAATTCAAAGACTATCATAAATTTTTCCACCATACTGAATAGTTTTCTTTAAGAAAACTGTAGAGACAACTTATGCATATGCATGGAAATAAAACATACTTCTACCCTAACACCTATAAATACACTTATACTCATCAAAACACATTTGTACCTAATTTTGGGGTGAGAAGATGATGAAGTTATCTTCCCAATCCAAAACAGTAAAGCTTTATTCAAACCCAGAGCTAATGTGGTAATTTGTCATTAGTAGAAATTCTATTACACATGGCCTTCTGTGTTGGCTGGACAGGCTTGAAGAGTCACATTTTGCTCACGCAATATTTTAAAAATCATGTTTATTTGATACTGAAAAATAGGGGCAAGGAAGCAAGTTTAAAGACAAAGAAGTAAAAGTAATATTTCGATTAAAATCTACTGAATTATGCAACAAATAACCTATATTTCCAATCAGTGAGCAGTCAATTACAGTCCACTGTGTCTGTTGTTATTTTTAGAACACAGCCATACCTATTGGGCTTTTTTTTTTTTTTTTTTA